GGAAGGGTAAACAAAGGAGGAGGCTACAATGCTTGATAAGAAATGTACTCATTATCTTGCCCATGTAATTGTAACCCCTCTGTACAGTATTTTCACAATTTAAAAAAAAAAGATCATCTAAGAAACAAATCACCAGGCTTCTTCAACAAATTCATGACAGGGGAAAATAAGAGGAAGGTGAACAGTCAGACTTTAAGAGACTTACAAAAAACAGATGCTGACGGCTCACCCCTGTAATCCCAGCAACTCAGAAGGTTGACATCTGAAGATTGTGGTTCAAAGTCAGCTCAGGCTGACTTTGCCCAGGAAAGTGTGTCAAACTCTTATTAATTAGTAGAAAAGGCTGGGAGTGGAGCTGTGGTTTATGTGATAAAGTGTTAGCCCGCCTTCCTGTCTTCTCTCTTGTATAATACAGTGCTGTGTGCTCATACACATGCCTTCCCCACCCCATTTTTTATCCCCTACTTTAGTTTTCTTTCTAGCATTTATTGTCCCCTGACAATTCGCTTATTCTCTGTCTCTTAACAAATAGATTGCAAGCTCTATTAGGTTGGTTCTTTGTCTTACTTACAGAGCAATGTTCTTAGAAGCATGCCAGATATACATTAGGTACTCATTAAATATTTAATAATTTAATCAATTTAACCCATACTAAAAACTCATTGGCTAAATGTGCTCATGCAGTTCTAGGGGCAGGAATGATGTGTACACAGTGGCCAAGATCCTCTTGGACTCTCTAGATACATCTAATTCAGCTAGGCAGAGCTACATGCAGAGCACCTGTAGACTGCAGAGAGACAAGCTACACTGCCCTAGTGCATTCCAACCTAGCAGGGAGAGGAGGGGCAAATAAGGAAGGGAACTTGTCTAGACTCCTGGTTGAGGCCTGGCTGACCATTCTTTTCCAAGGAAGAGCAAGATTTAATGAAGGTCCAAAGGAGGATTTGCATTATCTGTTGGAAATTAGCTTGAAAGGAATTACTTTGCTAAGTGGAGTGTTTTGGGGGTGATAAGAATATTGTAGAGGGCCTGGGAAGGTGGCTCAGTGGTAGAGCACTTGCCTTGCATGCCTGAGGCCCTGGGTTCAATTCCTCAGCACCATATAAGCAAAAAGAAAAAAGCCAGAAGTGGC